AAAAAAAAAAAAAAATTTTAATTTTCCTATAACCCTATGTGGTAGGTTCTATTATTATCATCTCCATTTTAAAGCCGAGGAAACTGAGGCACAGAGTTGTTTAGTGACATCCCCGTGACATGTTTTACACTCACTTCTCTTTCTGAGCCCTGAGGTATGGTTTGATGATCAGACGGTGCATAGCAAAGTAGACCACGAGAGGCCCCACAGTGGCATAGAACACAGCGCTGGGAAGAAGCTGATCCGTCAGATGAATAGGGAAGAAGTAAGTCTGACTGGCCCTGTTTAACCTAAAAACAAAAACAAAACAAAACACCCAAGATGAGTCAGGTTTCCAGGGAAGGGTAATGTGGGTCTCAGCCATAAGAAGAGAACCTTGCAGATACATAAAACACCAGTCAGGAGGAACCCCGAAATCTGCTTGTTTCATAATCCATTCCTCTTTACCGTTCCCTATTCCCAAGTTTAGCTGCTGGATTTGATGTCTGTGACAGAAGAAAGGTCCACTACCTGCTGACCTCAAGGGCAAAGCAATAGACTAATGTTTGACCAGAGCAAATGTGGCCTTAGAAGACAGGAGTGGACACTCCTCCAGGTGTCCTCGAGACAGAGAGTTGCATCTCAGACCTCAATTTATCTGTTTCAAAAAAGTGTGTGAAGATTTACAAAGTTAGCCAATTAAGGAGGTTCTGCTTCCAGCAATGGCTGAGTAGCTCCCCACTGGACCAATCACCGCACAGATAACAGTGTAACCTCTGGACCACATATGACAAAGCCCTTCAGGTCCTGGACAGGAACTAAAGGCAGGCGGATGCAAAAGGAGGGCTGAAACTTGGAAGACTGGAATGGCGCTGGTCAGTTTCCTGTTGTTTTTCTGAGTTGCTGCCTCAGCATTTCACACTATGACAACCCTGTTCACACAGAGTCTGGACATTTAGATAAGAACCCGAGCTTAGGATTCCCCCATAAGTTCCTACTTTGCTTTTCCTGGGGCACCTTTTAAAATAACCAGTTAGAGTTCAGCCTGCAAGAAGTTAGTGACCTCCACTCCAACTACCTTATAAGCCACAGGTACTTGCTACCCTGCTCTCTATCTCCCGCTCATTCCCTCGTGAACTTGGACAGAGGACTACCCTTCTCCCAGCTCACTGCCCCCAACAACCCCTTCTGCGATCTCTAAGTAATAAATCTCGCGACTCTGCTTCCTTGGTGTGAGTGTACTGAAAGTGTGCCTTCAATCAAAATGACCCCGTGGGTTTCACTTTCCCAAAGTGGGAGCTTGGATGCTGAGGAAGATACCTGCTGACCCCATGTGGGTGGCTTGTGCCTCCTCATTCGGCAGGTCATAATCTATATATTCTTAATTTAATACACCACCTATGGGTCTCTCAACACACCTGTTTTGTTTTTGTTTTTTTAACAGCTTTTAGCTTGGGGGCAAGTTTCAGTCTGTACCATATGGATGATTAAAACTGGGAAGAAATCTGAAGTCCTATTAGATTGAAGAACCAGAGCTTGGAGTTTGTGGCAACCACAGCAGCTGGGAAGTGGGGGGGGTCCCCAAAAAGGAAAGTCAGATTGGGAGCCCCAAGTTCTGTGTATAAATGTGGCACAAATCTCCAGCTGATCCCTCATCTATCAATGGCCTAGCTAAGGGTAAAATAATTGTGCTGTGTTTGGCTGCTGCCACACAGGTGAGTCTGTTTAACCTCAGCCAAGTTAATTACCTTCTAAAAGAAAAAATGAACACTTCTTTGAGAAACATAACAGAATATAGTCTCTACAATGTATTATTCACAATACCCAAGATCCAGTACAAACTCCTCTACATATCTAGATACAACAAGAGAAAAAGATAATGAACAGAGACCCACGCCAGATGACCCAGATGTTAGAACCAGCAGATAAGGATTTTAAAGCAGCTATTTTAACTATGCTCAAAGACATATAATATCCATTGGATGGGCTTAACAGCAGACAGGAGATGAGAGAAGAGCCAGAACTTGTAGACAGATCAATAGACATTATCCAATATGAAGAACAAAGAGAAAAAGAACTGAAGACAAATGAGCAGAGCCTCTGAAGCCTGTGGGATGACATCAAGAGCTTCCGCATATGAGTAATTAGGGCCCCAGAGAAGAGAGAATGGGACAGTAATAAATATTTCAAGAATTAATGGCCAAAAAGTTCCAAATTTGATGTAGAACATAACTGTACAGATACAAGAAGTTTAGCAAACCCCAAGCAGCACAAATACAACAAAAACCAAACGTAGGTACATCGCAGTTAAATTGCCGAAAAACAAAAGTAAAAAAAAAAAACAAAAACAAAAAGTTGATTAGCCAGAAAAAAAAATGACACATTACATGCAGGGGGACAATGATTCTAATGGCCACTGACTTGTCGTCAGAAACAATGGAGGCCAGAAGACAGGAGAACATCTTTACAGTGCTGAAACAAAAAACCTGTTAACCTTGAATTCTATATCCAGTGACAATATCCCTCAGTAATAAAAGCAACTCCAGAATTGAAAAAGAACACTCAAAACTCAAACAGTAAGAAATCAAACAACCCAATAATAAAACAGACAAAAGATCTGAACAAACACTTCACTAAAAAAAAAAGATATGGATGGCAAATAAACACATGAAAAGATGCTCAACATCTTAGCCATTAGGGAAATGCCAATCAAAATGGGATTCACCTATAAACCTGCTAAAACAGCCAAAATTTAAAAAAATGACCATACCAAGGGTTGGTGAGGATGTGGAGCAACCAGAATTCTCATATGCTGCTGGTGGGAAAGTAAAATGAAACCACCACTTTGGAAAACAGCTTGGTACTTTCTTATAAAGTTAAACACACACCTACCATGTGACAAGGCTCAGCATGCCCACTCCTAGGTATTTTCCCAAGAGAAACGAAAACTTATGTTCACACAAAACCTGTCTATGAATGTCTGTATTAGTTTTATTCGTAATCACCAAAAACTCGAAACAACCATATATCTTTAAACTGATAAGCAGATAAATTGTGGTCCATCTACACGATGCAATACCAACAACAACAAAAAGGAACACATTACTGAAGGACACAACAATATAGATGTTATTGCAACTGCACTTTGCTCATGGAAGAAGCACAAAAGGCTACAACTGTATGATTCCAATTATATGACATTTTGAAAAAGGCAAAAATACAGAGAGTGAAAACAGACCAGTGGTTGCCGGGGCCTGGGTGGGAGACCACACCAAGGGCATGAGGGAATTTTGAGGATGATGGCAAATGTTCTATATCTCGATTGTGATGATGGGTACATGACTTATGTGATTGTCCAAACTCAGAGAACTATACAATAAAAAGGGTGAGTTTTAATTTATGTAAATTTTACCTCAATAAACCTGACAACAAATTACAGCAATGATAACAGCTTAGTTCTGGGGCAGGAATGCCCATAACTGAAATATTTTTGAGGATGGTCAGAGGAACAAAAAATCAGAATGGAAAACCAGTAATAAAATAGCAGGCCTAAATCCAACCATACCAATAATTACTTTAATTGTGAATGGACTAAACGCTCCAATTAAAAAGAAACGGTATGAACGGACTGTAAGAATGGAAGGGCAAGATCCAACTGTATGTTGTCTATGAGACACACTTGAAACACAAACCCAGATAGGTTAAACAGAAATGGACAGAAAAAGATAAACTACACAAATGTAAGAAGGCTAGAATAGCTATATTAATCTCAGATAGACTTCAAGACAAAGAGTATTGATAGCAAAAATTGCTATCAATAAAAAAAATTAAAAATAAATTTTTAAAAAATGAGCAAAAATTGACAAAAGGGGGGGCAGCCTGGTGGTGTAGTGGTTGAGTTTGGCGCTCCGCTTTGGTGGCCCAGGGTTCGTAGGTTCGGATCCTGGGTGTGGACCTATGCACTGCTTATCAAGCCACGCTGTGGTGGCATCCCACATAAAATACAGGCAGATGGGCACAGATGTTAGCTCAGTGCCAATCTCCTTCAGCAAAAAGAGGAGGATTACCAACAGATGTTAGCTCTGGGCTAATCTTCCTCATCAAAAAAAAAAAAAAATTGACAAAGGAAGAAATAGAGAATTTCACAATCATAGCTGGAGATTTTAAAACCCCCTTTCTCAGCAATTGATAGAACTCCCCCCCATAATCAGTAAAGTCATAGAAATTCTGATTTCTGACAAATGCCAATCACCTGATCTAACATTTACAGAACACTGTGCCTAACAACTGTGGAATTCACATTCTTTTCAAGTGCACATGATACATTCACCAAGACTGATTATATGTGGGGCCACAAAAGTCTCAATATATTTAAAAAGACTGGAATCATACAGAATATGTTCTCTGACCAAAATGAAATTAAAGAGCGATAAACAGATATTTAGAGAAACCCAAATATTTGGAAATTAAGCAATACATTTCTAAAAGTGAAATTAGAAAATAGTTTGAACTCAATGATAATAATACAACATATCAAAATTTGCTGGATGGAGTAAAGCAGTGTTTAAAGGGAAATTTATAGCCTTAAATGTTTATATTAGAAAAGAAAAAAGGTCTCAAATTAATAACCTAAGGTACGCACTTAAAAAACTAGAAAAAGAAGCAAAGTAAAACCAAAATAAGTAGAAAGAAGGAAATATTAAAGATCAGAAATCAATGAAATAGAAAACAGATAAACAATGGAGAAAATTAACAAAGCCAAAAGCTGCTTTTTTGAAAAGTTAAGTACCCTACCCAGACTGATTCATCTACAGATAACTATAGATGTTAAAAGGATAGGAGGATATTATGAACAACTTTATGCTAACAAATTCAATACTTTGATGAAATGGACAACTTCCTTGAAAAAAACAAATTAAAAAAGATAACATAAGATGAAACAAAAAAATGGAAAAGCCCTGTATTTATGAAAGAAATTGAATTCATTATCAAAAACCTTCCTACAAAGAGGGGCTGGCCCTGTGGCCTAGTGGGTAAGTTCGGTGCACTCCATTTCAGCGGCCCAGGTTCATTTCCTGGGAGCAGGCCTACACCAGTCATCAGCTGCCATGCTGTGGCGGTGAACCACACACAAAATAGAGGAAGACTGACGTAGACGTTAGCTCAGGGCGAATCTTCCTCAGCAAAAAACAAAAAACAAAACAAAACCTTCCTACAAAGAAAATTCAGGCTCAGTTGATTTCACTGGTGAATTCTATAAAACATAAGGAAGAAATAATACCAATCTTACACAAATTCTTTCCGAAAATAGAGGAGGAAGGAACACTTCCTAACTCATTTTATCAGGCTGTCATAACTCTTTCCAAAACCTGACAAATACATAGTAAAAAAAGAAAATTATAGACTAGCATCCCTTATAAGCATAGGTGCAAAAATCCGGGCCGGCCCCGTGGCTTAGCAGTTAAGTGCGCGCGCTCCACTGCTGGCGGCCCAGGTTCGGATCCCGGGCGTGCACCGAGGCTCTGCTTCTCCGGCCATGCTGAGGCC